TCTGTGTGTGTGTGTGTGTGTGTGTGTGTTTGTGTGTGTGTGTGTGCGTGTGAGCACGTGTGTGCCTGTTTGTCTGTGCACAGTGCAAACCCTGACTATCCTTTCTAGTCTCAGGCATCATTCACCTTGTGTTGTTCTGAAACACGAACTCTCTCTCACTGGCCTGTAACTCTCCAAGTAGGCTATGCTACCTGGCTAACAAACCCCAGGGATCCTCCTCTCCCCAGGGCTGGGATCAGAAATCTACAGTATTCCAGCTGGCTTTTTTATATGTTCTGGAACTGAACTCAGCTCCTCATGTTTGTGCTGCAAGTACTTTACTAAGTGAGCCCCAGCTCCATTCTAACTTTTAAAATACAAATACTGGTTAATCTGCATTGCTACTCGTTCCTAATACATTGAAGTTCACTCTTTTTGACCTTCAACTTTCTCGTTATTAATATTAAATGTTTAGTAAAATTAGTTTCTTTTTCAAATGTATTCTAATGGGGGGTCATCAAAATCACATACACAAAATATTTCTTTACTATGCTTATCCATAATGAATTTCCTTTCAAATATGGCAACTAGAAGCACAGTATTTTATAACTATACGAGGTAATCACACATTTTAACTCTTTCCCATCCCCTTTTTCCAGTACCCAGGATCTCATGAATGCTAAGCACTACTCACAGCTTTTTGAAATCTTGAGACACAGTCTAGCTAAACTGCCTAGGTATCTACCCTTCACTTGCTTCTTTCTGTACAGATGGAAAGCCTAAGTCCCTATTAGGTAGAACTACTAAAGAAAGACTCTAAGTGAGTCTTGATATTTTGGTAGAAGACACAAAAGTTGAAGCCTTCTTTCCCCGCTCTTGGCTGTTATGACTCCAGTAAATTATGTTACCAATGTTTCTTCATAGGTTATGCCAACAGGTGCTGAGGGCTGACTCAGTCAGTAGTGTTTGACTTAGAAGTACCAGGAATGAATTCGATCCCCCAAAACCCACATGAAAACACAATGTCCAGCCAATCTAGACTAAACTAGTATGCTCTAGACCAATGAGGAACCCAAACTTAAATGAGGTAAACAGCATTCCTGAGTATAACAACTTAGGTTGTCCTCTGGCCTCCACACACATGCACACACGTGAACACATATGGCGACATGCTCATACACACACCACACACAACACACTTTATGATGACACTGACAATACAACAGAAGTTTTTAAAAAAATACAGCCTGTTATGCATGGTGTGGCATGTCTTTAATCCCAACACTTGGGAGGCAGAGACAGACAAACTCTGAGAGTTTGAAACACTGATCTACATACACAGCATGTCTTAGCTACACACCCTGTCTCAAAACAAACAAAAGGAAAACACTTGCCTACTTGCCCATCTTGCAGTCAAAAGGAGATATCCTGTTTTTTCTGTCTGCTTTTTTTTCCACGTACTCTGCAGAATAAGCTTGTATGCAAGAAGCTTTGGGGAAATAGCAATGCCTCAGCCGGTGCCTTATATTGGTTATACACAAACCTAACTTGCTAAATATCAGGCTTAGATTAAGTTAAATGAGGTCATCATTAATGCAGGTTTTATTTGCTAATCTCAGTACCTATCAGACTAACACACAAGGTTCATAAGTTCAAGACCAACCTAGACTACATAGCAAGTTCTAGGATAGCCCTAATTAGCTACAAAGGAAGACCCTGTTTCAAAAACACTAAAAGAAGAAAA